CATTGGCCTCCCAAAGTGCTGGGATTACAGGAGTGAGCCACTGTGCTCAGCCTGAACTCCATTTTTTATACAGTACCATTTGACACTAAAATTAAGAGTCTGTTACTCATCTGCAGAATTTCTCTTTAAATGGTATTACTAAAAGGTCCAAAATGAAACATCTGCAAAAATAATTATTCCTATACTCTGTGAGATATCTTTCCTGACACATTTCACATCACAAGTGAGTTTCCTAACAAACCCACACACACTTTATAGTAGACTTACCCTTCTTTCCCCAGGCTGTCTGGCAAACTTGAAAAACCTAACCATTTAGGGGAAAAAAATTGAGGCAATTAAAAGTAAAAGTGTTTTAGGCTAAGTAATGAATTTAAATTAACCCACTGAAAAGTTACATCAAAGGCTATTATTCAGCATTTTACCAATTACAGGAATTTCTGCAACATCTGTCCAGCCATTTGTTTGTGTATCCCTGGGATCAGTGCCCAGAGTTCAATCATTCTCTTGATTCTTCCTGTTATTTTCAGGGACTCAATGAGAGCAGTAAGTGACCTTTCACTCACTCTCAGGCAGGGAGACAAATTGATAGAGTCAGAAAAGAACTCTTAGATAAATTGTGACTAATCCAACTCTTATTATAAGGCACAAATATGGATTAATCTAAGCTACAATGGAAGTCAGATTCTCCCCACACCCCTTCTCCCGCATCACAATGTCTTCATATTCAGAAAGAAACGGCAGAGTCACAAGGATGATTTTAACATGAAGAGATGTGTTCAAGTCTTTGTTCCCGTCCTTTGGTGAAGGATAAACAGATAAAAACAACATAAAGAAAATGCAAGACTCTAGTGTCTGTCCTCAGAATTTTACACCCACTTCCACTGAAAAGTTCAGTGGAAAAACAGGTGACACATTTATTGCTTTTATATTAACAGTAACTATCATAAAATGCAAAGAATGCAGTCCTTTCTGGATACTGTATCTTCAAAAAGATGAAGCGTATGCAGGATGATTCAAAATAGTCTAAACAAACAAAGAGCAAGTCTACAGGCACTGAAGTTAGGAAAATAGTTCCCCTCACGCAGAATCCTCCTAACAAAGTTTTCCCATGTATTGTCGGGTCAAATAACATTCAGATAAACTGCACATAATCCCTAAAATGCCAAATGTTTAGAGAGTTTTTTGTTTTGTTTTGTTTTTGAGATGGAGTTTTGCGTTTTGCTCTTGTTGCCCAGGCTGGAGTGCTATGGTGCCATCTCAGCTCACTGCAACCTCCACCTCCCAGGTTCAAGCAATTCTCCTGCCTCAGCCTACTGAGTAGCTGTGATTACAGGGGCCTGCCACCATGCCCGGCTAATTTTTTTTATTTTTAGTAGAGACAGGGTTTCACCATGTTGGCCAAGCTAGCCTCGAACTCCTGACCTCAGGTGATCCACCCACCTCGGCCTCCCAGAGGGCTGGGATTACAGACATGAGCCACCGCGCCCGGCCTAGAGAGCTCTTCTCATGAAGAGCCATTTCATGCCATCATCAACAGGCTGCCTTGGTGGGTGGCCAATGTGCTTCTGGAAAACCAGCTGTGAATAACGTGAGCAACTCATGGTGTCTACATGAGAAGGAAACTTTTCAATGTCCTTATTGACTTTCTTCTTAGTATTCAAGATGGTCCCATTATTATAGTTACATAGTTTTATCTGGAAGAATTACTTGATCTAAAAGGTAATTTAAAATTAGTAAAATTTATTAGATATGAGGATATTAAGTTTCATCAATGAAAGAAGACTGAAAACACCCACAAAACTAGTATTGAAATTCTAAGTGTCACTCAGTGACTGGCGAGAGCCCCGTCTGGTGCTAAGTCCATTTGGAACATCTGTCCCTGCCCTCCCCTCCTCCAAGAAGAATGTTCACTGTAAAGGAGAAGAGCTTAATTTCTATGGGCTTTGTAATCCTTCCACTGGATTCCAAGCAAAATGACTATCAATACAACTAATCCTGAGAATAAAAAATAATCACAACTATGCAACAAAAACAGGAAAGGTGGTGCCAGGGTCTCACTCAGATTTCATTGCTTTGCTTTTCTCCAGGAAGGTCTTTTTGAAGCCCTGTTTATTCAATAGTAAGAGTGACCTCTAGTGACTTATTTTGTTGTTGTATTTTGTCAGTTTGGTGAATTACTCTAGCATGCGTTTCTATAATTCAATTTATGTATTTATTTAAGTGAAACAGCAGTTTCCATTACAAGACCCAAGGATTTTGATTTGATGTAAGTAACCACGTCTTATTAACAAAGCCTTCTCACAAAAGCAGATTAAAGTTGAATCTGAAACATGGTACAGCATCTGACGAAAGGAGTCCAGAGCTTGTTTTTGAGAGGGGCACACCAAGTGTAGGATTAACTGAGGCACAGCTGAATCGTGATGCAAAGTGAGTGCATGAACCCATGTGTGTGCCCTGTGTGTGAAGAACCCAGGCTTGAGCCAGCAGGTAGAACAGCACTGAGCTACGGCGAACTTTTCATGACAGCTTAGGAGAACTGCTGAAAGCTACCCTTGGTTATTCTGCACTAATCTAAATTTCCAAACATGGCCACTAGCATTTATTGGAACTTATTTCAAAGGAGATTTTGGTAGGAGGGGGCTGAGGCTGAGAGCCGGGAGATGCCACTGAAAGAAAAATAAAGGGATTTTGGCAGAAGGAGGAAGACATTTTAAAAACTCTAATCTCATGGTTCGATTAATCAAGAAAGAAAAACAACTCCCTGATAGAGATTTACTCCAAAAAAAAAAAAAAAAAAGTGTAATGTTGTGTAAACATTTTTATGTGTGATAAAATATGGGTACATTATGTTTTGCTCAACTGTCTGGAATATCATCATTATATTAGAATCACAGCCCATTCTAGAAATAAAGGCTTCCTAGGTGTTTACCAAATTAAGGAACATAAAAAACCAGGGAACTCAATGACAAATTAAATAATGTAAAATATTAGCATCCAGAGAGGAGTAATTTTCAAGATCACTTAAATGACTGGCTGAGTTTTGTCTTTAAGCAAGAACTTTCTACTATGAGAAACCGAGCCCCTGGCAGGGGTGTCCAAGTGTTATTCCCTTAGTAGTTAAGGCAGGTTATTACTTTGTGGTTCTTAAATTTAGTTTCACTCTGTCCCTATAGTGCATGGAAGTTAATTAGCATCTTAACTCTGAAGATGCCAAGGTTTGCAAAACTGTAAGCTGCTAACATCTAAGTTGATGCAGTATCATGTATTGTCTGCCAGGTTTTTTTTCTGTTCTTCTTAATTCCTACAACATATTACAATCCGAAAAAGGATTAAATGACAGCATTTGCAGGCTAATCTCTAAGATTTCTTTTCAGGTTTTACAAAAACGTCTACTTTCTCAATGAATATTCAAGTACATAGATTAAAAAGTCAAAATGAGAGGTGGCAGCATGTTGACAGCCCTTGCAGCCCTCGCTCGCTCTCCGCGCCTCCGCGGCCTCGGCGCCCACTCTGGCCACGCCTAAGGAGCCCTTCAGCCCGCCGCTGCACTGTAGGAGGCCCTCTCTAGGCTGGCCAAAGTCGGTGCCCTGTTTGCGGGGAGGTGTGGAGGGAGAGGCCTGGGCGGGAACCGGGGCTGGGCCCAACGAGAGTCAGGGTGGGCGTGGACTCCGCGGGGGTGGAGCAGCCTGGGGCCACCTGCGACAGGCAGTGAGGGACTTAGCACCGGGGCCAGCAGCTGCGGAGGGTGTGCCCTGTCCCCCAGCAGTGCGGGCCGCCTGCGCTGCGCTCAAATTCTAGCCAGGCCTCAGCTTCCGCCCCACGGGGCAGGGCTGGGACCTGCAGCCCGCCATGCCCGAGCCTCCCGCCCCCCGCCATGGGCTCCTGCCTGGCCCAAGCCTCCCCTAGGAGTGCCGCCCCCCTCTCCAGCACCCAGTCCCACCAACCGCCCAGGGACTGAGAAGTGTGGGCGCACTGCCCAGTACAGGCGGGCAGCTCCGCCTGTAGCCCCAGTTCCGGATCCACAAGATGAAGCCAGGTGGGCTCCTGAGTCTAGCGGGGACTTGGAGAACCTTTATGTCTAGCTAAGGGATTGTAAATACACCAATCACCACTCTGTGTCTAGCTCAAGGTTTGTAAACACACCTATCAGCACCCTATGTCTAGCTCAAGGTTTGTAAATGCACCAATCACTGCTCTGTAGCTAGCTAATCTAGTGGGGACTTAGAGAACTTCTCTGTCTAGCACTATGTTTAGCTAAAGGATTGTAAACACACCAATCAGCACTCTGTTAAAATGGACCAATCAGCTCTCTGTAAAACGAACCAATCAGCAGGATCAGATAAGGGAATAAAAGCAGACTGCCCCAGCCAGCAGTGGCAACCTGCTCAGGTTCCCCTCTATCTGGTGAAGGCATTTTTTCTTTTGCTCTTTACAATCTTGTTGCTGTGTTTTTTTGTGCGTCCATACCGCTTTCATGAGTTGCGAGACACACGCTGTGAAGGTCTGCAACTTCACTGCTGCAGCCAGCAAGACCATGAACCCACCGGGAAGAACAAATAACTCTCCAGATGTGCCAGCTTAAGAGCTGTAACACTCACTGTGAAGTTCTGCAGCTTCACTCCTGAAGTCAGTAAGACCATGAACCCACCAGAAAGAAAAAGCTGCAGACACATCTGAAGGAACAAACTCTGGACACACCACCTTAGAAAACAGTAACACTCCCCGTGAGGGTCAGCCGGTTGATTCTTGAAGTCAGCAGGACCAAGAACTCACCAATTCCGGACACAAAAACATACATGGTATATCTTAAACTCCCCTAGAAGAGGAAAGTGTATTGTAAACAAAATCTTCGTTTTTGGGTTGCAATTCAATAGATCTTTTTTCAAGGTTCTTTAACGTTAAGGAACATGTTCTGCAATTCCACTTTCAAATATTACTGATAATAAAAAATAGTTTTCCAGATAGTCTAGGGCAAGTTTTAAACCATTGGCTGTACTTACGTGGATTTCCTGCTCCTACGGGGCTCCAAGTCTGAGTGGGGAGAAGGAGCAGCACCTTGAGGTAGCACCTCAAGGTGCTGACTACCGAGACCCAGGCTACCGAGGCATGCTCACTTCACCCAGGCGCCCTGAGGCCCGGGCATGGCGATGGCCGCTCTGCGACTATCCTGGTCTCACGCCAGTCCCCCGTGCGGCCCCGAGGCTGTTCTCTCCCCTCAGGTCTCTTTCACTCTCTTCCTCAGGCACGGGGAGAACCCCCAGCCTCTCAGCGCTGCAGACCCTCCGGCCAAGCCACGCCCGGCCCCAGCGGCGTCTCGGAGGTCGGCCCCGCGCACTCAGGTGGCAGCTTTCTGGAGCACTCTGGTCCGCGCAGTGCTGCCCCAGGCTGGGAGGCCGCAGGTTGGAGGCTTCCCAGACACTAGGTGTAGGCGGCTGGTGGCCACGCGAGTCAAGAGGCGAGCGGGACAGGCGCCCCAGCTCCCCCGGCGCTCTCCTCCCGTTACACGGGTACCTCCCTCCGTCCCTCCGTCCCTCCCTCCCACCGGGCCGGGGCGGCCGCGGTGCACGGACTCGCACCAAAGACTGCGCCGTCAGCCTCCGCCTGCAGGTGGAGAACGCCAGGCTTTATCATTCCGCCAGTCACTGAGCACAGTGTCCGCACCCAGGAAAATCCTGTCCTGTTTGATTTCAAAAAGGGAAGATGGAGCAGAACTAACTCTTCCACGTGTACTCGGGCAGACGCGCGCACTCTTTGACTTTGCTAGGAATTCTGCCTTGCGGAGAACCAAGCTGGGAAACCGGGCCAGGTGCAAGGCGAGGCCAGTGAGCCCGGGTTGTGCGAGTGCAAGCGTTTGTTTAAAGTTGATGTTTTGTCTATCGTGGGTTTTTTGTTTTGTTTGTTTGTTTGTTTGTTTTGCTATTACATTCAATTTTAAAACTATTTCATTCAAGATTAGTGTTACTTAACAGTTGCACCTGAGACTAGTGCGTTAGTCCCTTCACCCTAGTCCTGGCCTTGGTGGAAGTCTAAATTTATATTTGATTCCAGTTTTCTGTCCAAAGGAGCGACCCCTGCAAGTGTAGGATGAGGAGCTCAATGCAGCAGCGGCTAACACTGCTGCACTCCTTGCGCGCCTGCTGTGTGCTGGAGGGGAGGAGGAGAGAAGGGGACGGGGTGAGGGGGGGGGCGAGGGAGGAGGTGGGGAGAGGAGGGGAGGCGGGGAGGCGGAGGGGAGGCGGAGGGCGGGTTTTGGGGGTCTTTCTCTTTCTCTCTTCCTCTGCTTCTGAAATTCACAGTACCGGCAAAGATTAACAAACTCACATTACCACCACCGCAAGGTTCCAAAAAAAAAAGTTACTAAGTTTTTTAGGTGGTATCTCAAAGAAATAGCTTATTAATCTTCCCTTTGGAAAGACAGTTTTGAAAGGCTTTTTCTTCATTAAAATGAATTCAAATGTAATAGAAGAAGAATCTTACAAAGTCATTCTTGAATTATTAATTGGGTTCACTTAAACTACTTTTGCACAAGAACTCTGTAAATAGCACCTCTTTTATTACAGAAGAAATTATAAATCTAAAGTTTTGATTGACAGATCAGCTGCCTTCAGTGAGATAGAAAAAGAGAAAATGGAAATCATTTTCTAAATTGAATCTAGAGTAAAACAACAAATGTCAATGTGTCATTGTACCAATCTGTCAGGTATCAGAAGGAGTCTTGAAAAACGTGAACTTGGGCGGGTGCAGTGGTTCACGCCTGTAATCCCAGCACTTTGGGAGGCCGAGGGGGGCGGATCACGAGGTCAGGCGCTCCAGACCATCCTGGCCAACATGGTGAAACCCGTCTCTAGTAAAATACAAAAAATTAGCCGAGCATGGTGGCGCGTGCCTGTAGTCCCAGCTACTCAGGAGGCTGAGGCAGGAGAATCGCTTGAACCCGAGAGGCAAAGGTTGCAGTGAGCAGACATCGTGCCACTGCACTCCAGCCTGGCGACAGAGCAAGACTCTGTCTCAAGAAAAAAAAAAAAGTGAACTTGAGTGTTCAGAGTGTTAGGCTTAGTGGAGAAAGGCCGAGAAACTTCTATGGTGGTAGACATTTGCAATTTAAAAAAAAAAAAAAACTGGCTTCATTAAACTGTAAAATCACTAGTGTAGTAAGGGTGAATGCATTTTTTACAACATTGGAGGGATATATTTATGAATATTATTCCCAATACATAAAATATACATTTTACACACTTATCAGTACACTCAAAATTTGTCCCAAATTGTTCATGTCTACTAAATGTATACACTATTTTATATGGTTAAAGCAATAAGCGTCAGCATTTTCTTCTAAGACAGGAAGTTTGTAATTGTTGTTTTGATTCCCCTGCTTTTGACTTAAAACTTATTTAGGTTTATTCTACTTAGGTTTTTTAGTTAGGGGACTTGAAGTCCTTAGACATAAATGTGTGTCTTGAAATGCATTATATGTGGCTATAACTGCTGCTACATGGTTAAATTATTATTTAAATCAGCATAGACACTTGCTGTGGTGATAATGCTGGCAATGAACTTTGTAGACTAAGAGTAGTGAGGCTCTAGAAATTACTTTGTCTTGTAGAGAAGCATCCTTCACAGTCATCACGCACTACGCATTTACTGGACAAATGAAGGCATAAATTCGAGGTGGCTGATGTAACTGGAACACTGGATGTCCTAGAAAAATATTAAATATCACAGATATAAATGTTTTATATGTTGCTGCTTTATTTCCTTTCTTCCCTACTTTCCATGGTAATGCGATTTAAACTTTGAAACTTCTTACTTACCTTCTGTTTAACCTGAACATGGGTAATAAATACAATTATATTTTTTATTTCAATCTGGATAATGGTTGCATGATCCAACCAGAATAAGAAGGGAATAAGATCTACTTTGTAATAGCACATATTTAGGAGGCGAGTATATTTATATTGGAACAAATGATGATACTGAGGTGGGTTTGATGATTAGCTTCTGGATTATAAGAATGTAAATGTTTGTTAAGACAGAGTCTTTTGAAATTTGTTCTTGAATATTTTGAATTACAAAAGAAACATTTAAAAAGAATTGTATAAAGATAATGATAATAATTGCCACTACCATCACCCCAACCCCACTGAGGTAACCAATGATACGTGACAGGCTGACAGGCTGGTATGTATCCTTGTGTATCCTTGTTTTGGCTCTTCGTCCTTTTTTTTTTTTTTTCTTTTTTTTTTTTGAGAAAGAGTCTTGCTCTGTCACCTAGACTGGAGTGAAGTGGCGTGATCTTGGCTCACTGCAACCTCTGCCTCCCAGGTTCAAGCAATTCTTGTGCCTCAGCCTCCTGAGAAACTGGGACAACAGGTGAGTACGACCACACCCGGCTAAGTTTTTGTATTTTTTGGTAGAGACAGGATTTTTCCATGTTGCCCAGGCTGGTCTCGAACTTCCTGAGCTCCACCCGCTTTGGCTTCCCAAAGTCTTGAGATTACAGGCATGAGCCATGACATCTGGCCTTGGCTCTTCTTATAGATAAACACATACAACCTGTACATGGAGTTGTGCTTATTTTGTTTCAATAAGGTTTTATCTTGTACTTTATGCTCTCATCCTGCAATTTTCTCTCTTTATAGTATACCATGTGCATTCTAGTCTAAGCTAGAATTTTAGTTTTCAGTTCTATAAAATAGAGTGAGAATACAAAAATATAACCACATTTGCCTGCCAATCTATTGCACTTTAATTCCTAAATAGATCTACTTTCACAAATATACTACTTCTCAAAGAATTATTTTTCTTATGATATTTTTCTAAGCAATGCAATATGATATTAATCAGATTTTTAAAATACACTACTGCTTTAGTCAAGGTCCAGAAAGAAAGCATGATTCGCTCAGATAGTTTAAAGGAACAGGCTGTAAAGAAAAGTGAAAGGATCCCCTAGTGACGTTGTGGCACCCAAAGACAAGCAATAGCAGAAAGCCTTTGCCACCGACCGCAGAGGGACAAAAGGAGGAAAGGTTGTTGCCAGATCTCCAGAAAGCAGCAGCCGAGGAACAGAAAGGTCTGCAGGAGCTATAGTCATAGAAGTAAAAAAAGCTGTCAGAGCCTGGAAACAGGAGTGAGTAGGGAAGAAACTTTTTGAGCTCTGGTTTCTGAAACCTTCCTTTTTCTGTGGGTGTCTCTCATTAGCCAAAACCAACTGGAAGTCATCTGGGAGGGGAGCAGGGTGACACTTGGGCAGGAAGGGTAACACTGGGGCTGGAAGGGTAGAGGGTGGTTCTGAGGACCTGCACAAAGAATGGCCAGCACATCCTAGAACATTAACACTTACCAAATAAAAAAAAAAAGTTTATTTTGTTTTGTGCATTCATGTTCTTTAATGAATGATTTACAAAGTAAGGCTTAGAATAGAAATCTAAAGCTTTTATTTTTTAAATTATGAAGTAATCATACTTGCTAGAAATTAAACCAGAGCTTTGAAGTCAAATAAGTTACTCTTCTATTTATATTAACAGGGAAGATTAATTTTGCTGAATATCATAATTTTGAATGGAGCTTTGTATTAACTTCAACATCAGGAAATCACCAGAGTCCACTTACCTTTCCTTATTTTTCACAGAAATAGAAAGATTGATGTTCTCATAGAGCAAAAACGATGAGGTCTCACTTCTTGTGGCCTTCTGACATCCATCAATATTTTGGGAAAACAATTCTCACATTTCAGGGCCAATTGGGAATTAACTTGAGCTCAAATACAAAGGGAAATATATTCTTTATAAAAACATTATAAATTTTGTTTGTGAAATGAATAAGCTAGCCTAAAATCTTATCCTCGCAAACTACAGTAGGTTAAAAAAAAAGTGAATAAATGGTAAGTAAGCTGATATTTTCTTTCCAGTTTCTTATCACTGGCTAATTGGGAAGAATTGAAAAGTTAAAAGAGGAGAAAATTATAATCAATGGCTATTCCATTAAAAAATTGCTTAACTTTTATTGAAATTGATTCTATAGAGCGCCTCTGATTACATATTTGATAGGAAACATTAACACTAATACATAAAATATCATATGTGTTCATGTATGAAAGAAAGCATTCTCCCAAATGTTTTCATTTATAGAAAAAGATAAGTCTCACCCTAAATCTATGTTAAACTTAAAGAAAGAACAGGTCTAGTTAGAATGTGATTTTAGGGACTAGGAAATCTACCCCAGACTTCAGCAAATCAATGTTCTACCATTGAAGTGTGCCAATATATAGTATGAAATCCCTTACAGATTTCAGATCTTTTCCTGAAAGCAAACTTTAATATAGCAGAAGTCATCTGGATTTGGGCTGGAGATGGGGAGAATGAGAGGAGGCAAATACCGTAAGGGGTGGAGTGTAGGGGTAGGCGAGAGTAAAGAAAGGCATTAGTTAAATGTCAGAAGTGAATTTATTCACTTTGTAGTTTTATCTAAACTGAAAACCGATCCGTGCTTGAATGGAT